CTTATTTACAAAAGACCCACCACCATATGTATATCTTTATTATCTCAGAATATTTATTACGCAAAAACACTTCCAATGTCGATCTTATCCATTTGACAAGTAAGAGTGTTACTTTTCCAATATATAGTTTTTCATAACACAACATCGAACTTTTATATTGGAACTTATTCGCTGTATTAATCTAACCCCTAAGACAAAGAAATTAAAAAGATATCTTTATTTACATCGATAATATAATAAAAAATTGCGCAAAACGCCATCTTTCGAGTAAAATTTCGGCACTTAACTTGGCAAGTTCACGCATGTCCGTTCTGCGTACACGCAGTAAACAAATAAATTAATTAGAAATGTTTTATTCATTATAATTTATAACGTGTAAGATATGGAAAGTAAAAGGTACCTGTGTCAGGTAATTGAGAGAGTGAGAAGGGCGAATTACCTTATAGAAATTATATTTTTAAAATTAAAATTTCGTAAAAAGAATTTATGAAATATTAGTATTTTATATTTTTAATTGAATTCTCAAATGACGAATTGTAAATTAAAATGCCACGTGTTTTTATTATCGAAGAAGTACCACATTAAAAGTGGTTTTACGGCGAGTGATAATTACGCCCCTTTTCATCACAAACAGTAAAAAACGCACAAGTAAAGATAACATTTTTTTTAAAGGTTTACTAAACCTGGAATTAGTAGGCAGCGATGCCAGCTAAAGAATTAAATAAAGTAATTAAAGTTAATTCGATATATTGTTCGTGATATTGAAAAATTTTTTATTTTTGTATTAGGTCATTTTTTGTAGGTAAAACATAAAAAATACGTAGCATTTTATTTTTGATTTCCCAAATTTGTCCGTTTTTCGGTGGAGAAGTTCATTAGTAGCAACACTTATGAAATGTCAGAATTCTAAGGAATGAAAAATCAGAGTATAGGTGATTTATGGAAAAGTTTACTCTTGCCTTGCCAAGTTAGTTACCGAGAAAATTGAACCATTTAAAACACGAAACTTTATTGTTGGAAATTGTATTTATCCATATCTCCATTAATCCAATCCAAGCCCTGGAGTAGAAGTGGCATGCGATTAAACAGTAGTTAAAAGATTAAATTGTATCAGTGTCACAAAAAATCCAAAGTCATTTCGTATATTTACATGCACAAAATAAACCAATATAAAGCTATGAGAAATATATTAAAGTGATTTACATTTTCAATGCTATATCTTTAATAACATATATAAAAACAATTCTTCTTTAGCGTAACATTTGGTTAATATAATTTTGGCAAAATGTCTAAAGAATGGTAAACTAAACTAAATTTACCCTCTTACCTATTAGGACTTGTTTTGGACACGAAATCGCTTTTTGACAGTCGTGACACGGTCACATGACCGTTTCCATACTGATTAGTTTGTCAGTTTAAGTGGGTCACGCCTGTCAAAACGCGACTTTGTGTCAAAACCTGGGACTTGAGACAAAACCGCTTTTCGACAGTCGTGACACCGTCACGTGACCGTTTTCATACTGATTAGTTTGTCAGTTAGTGAGTCACGGTTGCCAAAACGCGATTTTGTGTCAAAACCAGGGACTTCCATACATCACTTAGTCGTGAGTGGGTCGCGCGTGTCGAAAAGTGACTTTGTGTCAAAACCAACTCAACTGAACCACTATCCGTATCTAAACTACGTTTAAAATTTACATTATAAACCATGGGCCATAGCACAATTTAATAAATACATGCCTCAGATATCCATTAACACGTCTGATTTAACAAAAAAAACACGAAAAGGTTTTAACCATTTTGACATTCGATAAAACCCGTCAAAACACTGATCTGCTGATCAGTAAAGAGGCGTTTATAGGTAAGAGGGTATTTAGCTGTCCCTTGGACAGCACCTTGCTGGCTTGCTGGTTTCACGCAAGCAGTTACTCAAAAATTGTGACCATTCAACCATTCCATACATGACGTCTCATAACGTCTTTCTAAAAATAATCACTTGATTTTCCTTCAATTTTCGTAGCCATTTTCAGTGATAACAGAGAAGGGGAGCGTTCAAGTATTACGTCTTTGGACCCCCCATGTAATGCGCCGTAACGTTTTTCTGCACCCAATGACTCTTTATACCTACTTACTATTATGTGGTGTAAAGTACTGGAAAGTCCAAAATAATATTACCAATAACGCGTAAGAGCTCTTGTTAACGACAACGGACAACGGCCCGATTTATAACGGGCGACGGGCCGACGCGCAGTGTTCAAGTAAGTTGAGTGAATGTTTGTTAACGCGACGGGCTCATACCCGTTGCAACGTGACTCAACGGATGCGCGCACGTTGCCCCTCGGCGCGACGGCGGACTGTCCGATGCAGTGAACTACGTCATTTCATAGAAGTGTGTTGACGACGACGGATGTGCGCACGTTTATATTTCTATCTACCTACCCTCTGCTGCTCATTGTGAATATGGAGTTTACCATTGATATGGATTTATTAATTAGCCTTGTTCAGAATAGGCCTATGTTATGGGACAAAACTATAGAAAATTACAAAAATAAACAAGCAAATTTTGCGGCATGGAAAGAAATCTTCGTAATGCTAAATGAAGATTTTGAGACATTATCTGATAAATAATAATCAACGTACGTGCACTTCTCCCTTCAAATTTAATAGAACTGATATCGACAACAACGGACGCGTTCACGTTATATTTAGCGTATCGTGTACAAAGGTAGCCGTTTTGCGTCGGCCCGTTACCCGTTGACAAAAACGTTCGTTAACAAGAGCTCTAATTCAAACCCCGCCCCGCATAGTAACGTTTTAGAAATGGAAGACCCCCACCCCCCTCCCAAAATTCGTCACGTAATACTTGAACGCTCCCTAGCCCCGCTATATCACATTTGATTGAAATGTTACTGATATTATTATATGCATACACATTATATATTAAGACTAATTATAATGTAAAATATTCTAAAAAAATTAAATATAATGGAGTACATGAAAGACAGGAAGTCTTCCGAGTGGAGCATGATGCACAATGTTATTGGTTATACGTCCACGAATCACACTCGGTCGATTACAGAGTATTTTAATATAGACAGGGTGTTACGCCCGAACCCAATAATTAATCCACAATCTCAGATTAAAAAACAATCTGAGATCAGATGGTGACCGTCGATCGATCTCCTATCTGCATTCCAATAACCAAACCCTATGAAGACAATCCATTTTTGGCGACAGATAAATTGCTCTTTGTCGTTCCATTTTACCGAGTTTTCACTCATATTTGATAATAAATGTAAACCAAATAAAGTAAATAAAACCGTACAAATAACATTAAAATATACATGTGTATGTTTAAAACCTAACAAACAGTTTTTTTAATTATTTAAAAATCTGGTGTAAGTTAAAATCTGTTAAAATAATAACTGTTATAATCGAGCTTTCGTCAACTGTCTTTTTCATACAAAGGTCTATCCACAGACACCGATCCGACCTCCCATGGATAGTTGTGTCGACAGATGGCTATTACAATCCGTCGATTATTGTTATTGATAATGTTATTGGCACACTTGTTACAACATTTGGATTCAGATTACTAACTCAGATGGATTGAGATAGGTTATTGGGTTCGGGCGTTAGAGATAGACTAGATTTTTAATCCATCCACTTTGCGGGCAATATTCTGCAGAGATTAATAAAAATAAGACTCTAAAAAAAATTATTTGTACCAAAGTCATTTTACGATTTTTGGTTAATGCACAAAAAATACAATTTTTTCGTATAAAGTTTGCTTTTGTGATAGTAATAATACTCATTTATAAATTTCATTACTTTAAATGCGCGATCAGAGTGGGATTTTTACGTACACGAACACGTACGTGTGATACGTTCAGATGTAAATAACAAAATTTTGAATCTTCAATAAAAAATTAAGACCACAGATTATAAAATTAGGTCTATCTCCTATAAACAAAAACTTTTCACGACATAATTTTTAGTACCGGGGACAGTAGGATGGGCGGCAAGTCTATGGAAACTTTCAAAGCCAGAAGGCTCACAAGTGCGTTGCCGGCCTTTCAATAATTGGTACGCTCTAAGCACCCTAAGTCAAATTGGTTCGGAAATACTTCAGTGGGCAGCTGGTTCCACATAGTGGTGGTGCGCGGCAAAAACTGCCTTAAGCAACGACGGACGGTGATATGAGAGGTACAAATTTAATGCTGTCAAGTCAAATTAAGTCCTGTGGGGATTAGGGACATGATAGCGATCACACTTCCTAGAATAATTAACTAAATATATACCACCCTGTCTATAACTGTTCTGTCATCGAATCTAAGTGCATCAAAAACGTATCATATTTTGACATTCGTACATACTCTAACTGACAGTTCACTGAACACTTCTTGTCTGCCATGATAATAAATGCTATTTAGGCACAAACTCGGAAGCATTAAAATTTACAAGGCAACATCGAATCTTAAACTAAATGATTGGCATCGTACATGGCAACAATTTATCTTAAAATTTGGATACTAATTGATACAATATTTACTAGAATTGCTTAATACGTGGACGAGAAATTGATAATTTTGTCATAAGTGTATTTTGTCCCTGTTGTGTGTGTGTTGGTGTATAGGCGTAGTTGACCACTGTTTTTGATTATTAAATCTAATTACAAACATCAAAAATAGCCAGCCATGTCCCGGCTTTGTCTACGGATAGTTATTATATTTTACACGCGAAATCGTAATTATTGAATATTTTTATGTTTGATTAAAAAATGTACAAATCCTTCTTTATTCGTTATTTTACATTAAGTTGCAATTTATTAATTTTTAGTTAAACTACCCCCAATGTGAAATCATTTTAATCACACATTTCTTTACGCACACGTTCTCTCTTTAACAAACGATGTTTACACTGTGACAGAAAGATATAAAACTATTTTGAAGGGGTTCTTATACTGAGCAATTTTATCAAAAATCACCATGTGTTTTTGCATCTTAAGCTACAGAATCCGGACTTTTAGCCTTATTAACTTGAGTCTTCAAATTAAGCGTCGACAATTGACTGACTGGCACGCTTGGTGCGTTCGCATAACTATTCGACCCCCTAACCGCGCCCCATCTGCTGAAATGCCTTTCATCATCACTGCTATCATCCCTCCCCTCCAACGACGGCATATCTATCATCACCGCCTCCATGCTTACATCTTTCAAACTCAGCTGTGACATACTTCGTTTCATCGTGGTTTCGTTCACCTCCTTAAACAGCTGCTCGCTCAAACTCTGCCTGTTCAACTTCTTCTGAACCGGCTTCGACCTCTCCAGCCTCTTCGGTTCCTCCTCGATCTCCCGCGGTATATCATCGTACGCCATTATCGGAAGACGTTTGATCTCATCATTGTTAAACACTGAGAATCCAGATATCTTCTCGGAGACCAGTTTCAAGTTGGATGTGGATCCAAATTTCTGGGCTTTGGTCAGTCTCCCGCGTTTGGCGGTGTTCGTGGCGCTGGAGGCTGCGGATTTCGTGAGTCGATTGGGTGATGAACTCCTGCGTTCCATGTTTGGCGTGTTTGCGGTGGATAGGACCAAGTTCAGACTTGTTCTGGACCGCGACAGCGAGCCAATGAAGGAGTTCCGTTGGTGGTACGTTGATAGGACGTGTTGCAAGACGTTCTTTGGCCAAGGGATGTTAAGATAACCCTCACGGTCCGGTATGGCAATGCCGAATTTGTTCTCGTGATCGTCGAGTTGCTTTGTGAAGACTTCGACAAGATTCTGAGAAAATTTTCTAGTTTTAGTGTGACAGTTCACACTTAATCCTCGGACGAAACAAAACGCTCACACTTTGACCTATATCGGGGGATTAGTTTTGAAGAGATAAGCCCTTTTAAAGAGATTTTCCCACCACCACAAGCACACATGCACACATGCAAAAACTACAAGTCGCAATTTAATTAGCAATGAATCGCCACCATCTTGTGGTTAATGATAAATTATCTCTAAAAAATTGTGACTTTAGTTACATGCAACATTTAACATTCAAATTTTCACGAAAGAAATTGAAATAAATTTCCTTCGAGCATCATTCATTATACTTTCTATATACAAAATACTTTGACTGAATTAAGAAAAATTTAGTCCACTGCTGAGAGCGATGTGTACCTGACACTAAGTCTAACTCCCACCTGTCAAAAATGTATTGGATTTTGACAGTCTCGCCTCTGAAGATAGCTAACATATATACAATTAAAACTCCATTTAATCTATGTCAAAATCAGACATTTTCTAATACATAAACACAAAATGCTTGATCTTTGCTTCTCAAACTTACCAGTAAACATCTCTCAACTTTAAGAGTTAAAGTTTCACTTATAAACCGAATTTAACACATAATTAAAATATCTGATTTAAACGATTTCGAATAGCTAGAAATTTTTTTTTTGCAAAAACTCAGCAAAGTTTGAGGGTAGTTACTGATAAGGGTTCGTGTATATAATGATACGCCGCAAAGAACACTTTAGCCAAGTCCTACCTGCTTCCTATCTCCCAAAGTGGCGCGCCACTCCTTCAACTCCAGCCCATACCGCTCCTCGATGGTCTTCATCTTATTGCTCTCGTGGTTCATCAGCGCTTTGCGCTTCTCGTTCTGGTATTGCTCCAGTTCGCGTAGTAACGCCTAGAATTATTCAAATTTAGTTATTATTGTACGTACGCGTACGCTCGCGTACGTACGCATTCGTATCAGGATCGTGCACCAATGTACTTTCTACGTGCATTTAACAGTCGTGACGAGAACCTTTAGACCTTTAGGCTTTAGACCCATAAATCAATCCAGAGAAGAATCATTTTGACCTTTCAAAATCGCGGCACAGAAACTGAGAATGGGTTTAAGAGGCATTTCTACATCGATATATATATTGCAATATCTGTATTCTGACATAATTAAATATATATATAATATGGCCTATATAAAAACTTGTATTGCGATAAATGACCTCTGTCCACAGCGAACTTAATGAGTGAGGCAAAACTATATGTTATAGATAATATGTAAAAACACTATGTCATTTCATATGTACTAATCATGATCTTTTACAATAAACACTATGTTTTTTTATCACATTTGAACGGTTTTTCTCGTATAGAAATCATTATTTTGGTTTAAATAAACACTACGCCATGACAGACAATGCAACTTGTCGATAAAACAGAGCAAGCGCCAACTAGGGGCCCAGACTGTTTTACCGACGTTTGAATATTCCGGGTGTCGGTTTTTTGTGACGGTGTGCGCGCATCGTATAAATTTACTCTCATAATTTTTCCCTAACGCGCCAAAAGAAGTATAACTTTTAATACATACCTCTCCAGCAGCCTTCAGCTCCTCCCTGGCTTTCGCGTGTTTCGTCGCCAGCCTCTGTTGTTCAGCTCGGTAACGACGTTTCTCGTTCTCTTGGAACTGAAAAACAAATAAGACCTGGAATCTGGATCTACAGAGTAGAGGTTGCAGGTTCAAAAGTCAAAAACCATTTATTAATATAGGTAACGCAATGTTCACTTATGAACGTCAATAAAGAAATATTAAATGATTCTAATGTTACATCTGATGCTAGTTCGCAAGTCAAGGGCCTAATGGAGACAAGAAGAACTGGCAAGAAACTCTCCGCCACTCTTTTCAATCGCCAAATTTTGAGACATACAAATTGTTTGAACTGGAGCAAATTAATCATTTCAATAATAGTCAGTAAAGCTTTATTGATTAATTTTCGTTTAACGAGAGCTTGGAATTTTTCAAATAAAGTTGGTTAAAGACTGTATATTGCTTTAAATTTTTTGGACTCCTAATAGACATGGGGTTATTTGAAAATTATTTAAGATCAAAATATGCATCTCAAAACAACAAATCGCTGGTACTTCACCGGGCTATAGCCGCTATATGCTACGAGGTTCATAATTTTTTTTAATATTACAGGATTTATTAAAAATAAATAGCAAAAAAGAATTTATGAATTCTATTTAGTAGTTTTGAGCTTGTTTGATACAAACATTTACTTCACAATATTATTAGAGATATAACAATTTTTTTTAATATCTTGTATTTGTGATGTTCCCTTATAATAAATCGTTAAAATTTCAACATACATGCATATATTTCTTAAGAAAAAAAAAAACAAACATATTTTCTACTTGTATCTTTTACACGGTATTATTTAAACGCCGGCAACGCATTTGCGAGCCTTCAGGCAATGTTAGTGTCCATATACGGTATCACCGAACATCAGATGAGCCTCATACCCATTTGCACCAAAAAAAAGTTACAAAAATGTTCCCAAATGTAACTTTCCAATACCTTCTTAAGTCTTTCCCTCTCATCATCATGACTGTGAGTGGCGGCTCCTATTCTCAAAGACTCCCTGAACATCATCTCTCGCGCCTTCTGCTCCGCACGTATACGTTTGGGAAGAGACCTCTTCTCTAACGCCTGGCACTTCGCCAACTCCTCCTCTTTGCGTTGGTTTTTCCTGAAATCATAAATTTTTGTTAAATTTAGCTGTATCGGTCTATACCTTTCACTATAAAAAAGGGTGCGTATACTTATGTACGCGCGTAAGAAGTTATACTTCTTTGGGATTATTAAAAATAGTTTTTGATTGCATGCAAATAATTAATCACAATTAAATAATCAAAGACTGGAAAAGGAGTCAATATAGTGAACAAAGTTCAGTTTACATTTAAAAAATTAAATAAATAAATATTTATTATTATTTTCTAATATTAATTAGTATTGATTTAAATATTCAATTTAAATCACTTCTGATTATAATTCAGACGCACATATAAAATTTGCACTTGTATAATAAAAACAAAATGAAAACACGTGTTTTAAATGTAGAAACTCAAAGCCAGCGTGCCAGCATGCGCCCCTAACTTCATTCTGTTAATTTTGTGTCACGGTGCGCGCGCATCGTAAAATTTCACTCTCATCAACTTTTCATAACGCGCCTAAAGAAGTATAACTCCGATAATAAAAACTTGTATTTACAATTTTCTTAACCTAGCAATAATAATTAAACAGAACCTAAGTAATAATAATAATTAAACAAATTTTAAAAGTTTGGTACCCGTGGCAGTGTACCTTTAACGCCGGCAGTACTTCCTCGCTGTATTACGATACTTATTCGTTGAGGAAAGCACCAGTTCTGGGGTCACCGGTACTACCAGGCGCCAACTTAAATCTTTAAATAGCTGTGTACTTTATTATATTTAATACTAGCTGGCCTGGCGAACATCGTACCGCCTAACAGTCGATTCTTTATTTTTTTTAAATACATATTCTGCTATTCGGGACACCGGTCTAGCTAGTAAGATAAAAAAAAAGAGAGTTGATAAGACCCCCCGAAACCCCTCCACTAACACTTGAACTTTATGATATGGTATTAACGTTCAAATTGACTTTTAAGTATTATTACGAATATTTTGTATAGGAATATAGAAAAGTGTTGTTTTTAGACTTTTTCACTAATTTTTTTTTAATTTTTCTCGCCGTAAAAACCATCCTTGAACTTCAACGAACATTTAAAAAAAAAGAATTGGCCAAATTGGTCCAGGTGTTGTTGAGTTATGCGCTTACCAACACATTTTGCGATTCATTTTTATATTATAGATAAGTACACGACATCCGACGGAGTAACCTCCAAATTCTTCCATTTGTCTCTTATATTTGCAACTATCTTCGAATAATACCCTGATGTTCGATTACAATTCAATATAAAATATAAAAAAAATATTTATGAGAGAAATATGGTTGGGACAATTTTGATATAACGCTAGACCCCACACCAGGGAAAATAATATATCATCATAGGAACTGGTAAATTTAGTGAATTATATTTTATACACTATCTGGTCAATGCCTTGTTGTATGTACAAAAAATATTAACGATTTTAAAACAAATTGTTGACTTTCACCAGTATAATACGCGAAAAACAAACCAGGTTTAAAAAGATAAACCCCTTATATGGAAACTGTATTCTTTTTACAACGAACTCCCAAGCGAAATTAGAGAATTATTGTTAATAAATTTAAAACCCTCAATAAATTTAAACGTAAATTAATCAATAAAGCTTTTTATAAATTAGACGATTATTTAAATGATTGATTTGCTCCAGATCAAAAATTTGTATGACTCAAAACTTGGCGATTAAAAAGAGTGGCGGAGAGTTTCTTGCCAGTTCTTGTCCGCTCTACGCCCTTGACTTGCGAACTGGTAGTAAATGTTAATTTAGAATCAATTTAACATCTCTTCTGTTGACAACGCCATCCTTAAGTTTGGCGAAGAGATTCGGCGAGTATTTAAGTTCTTTAGTCACTAATACATTTTTCAAAATCTAGTGAAATAGTCTATTGAACTCTTGTTAATTCTCACCTCTTAATCTGCTCCAACTCCTTATCGTGCCTGACCAGCATCTGATGCCGTCTGAGCAGGAACTCATCTTTGAGTTGTCGTTTCGCGAGCTGGTGTCTCTCGTGGATTTGTTTCTCTTCTAATTCCCAGAGAGCTGCTTCCCGGGTACGCATTATCTATAAAATATTATGGTAAAATAAGTTTTTAAAACGAACGTCCATTTTTGTACGTTATAGAAACGGCGGCATAAAGGCCGGAAGCTCATCTGATGTTATGTGATGACCGTCACACATAGGCTCACAAGTGTGCTGTTTCGAAGGATCCTAAGTCTAGTTCGAAAATACTTTAGTGAGCAGCTGGGTTCCACACAGTGGTGATGCAAAATAAGTTGTCCACCAAAAAGGGACAAATTCGACCCATTTGAGGGCAATAAAAAATAAAATGCTACGTATTTTTGATGTGAAACATCTATAGCCGCACGTAAAACCGATTTCTGGCGTGGCGACGCATGCCGTGGCGACGCGTCGCCACGCTATATGATGGTATATATATAAAAAAAAACGTTAAAAAAAAAAAAGAAAAAACCCAAAAAAAAAAAAAAAAAAAAAAAAAAAAAAAAAAAAAAAAAAAAAAAAAAAAAAAAAAAAAAAAAAAAAAAAAAAAAAAAAAAAAAAAAAAAAAAAAAAAACGGGGGAAAAAGAAGAAAAAAAAAAAAAAAAGAAAAAAGAAAGGAGAAAAGAAAAAAAAAAAAAAAAAAAAAAAAAAAAAAAAAAAAAAGGGGGAAGGAAGGGAAGAAAAGGGAGGGAAGGGGGGGGGGGGGGGGGGGGGGGGGGGGGAGGGGGGGGGGGGGGGGGGGGGGGGGGGGAAGGGAGGGGGAAAAAAAAAAGAAAGAAGGCCGGGGGGGGGGGGGAAAAAAAAAAGGGGCGCCCCCCTTTGGTGGGGGGGGGGGGGGTGTGTGGTTTTTTTGTGGGAAACCAAAAAAAAAAAACAAAAAAAAAAAGTAGAAAAAGGTCCGTTGGGGGTTGGTGGGGGGGGTGGGGGGTGGTTTTTTTTTTTTTTTTTTTTTTTTGCTGTGGGGGGCGCCCCCGCGGCGGGCGGCCCCGCAAGGCCCCCCAAGTGGGGGGGGGTTTTTTGGGGGGGGGGGGGGGGGGGCGCCCCCGCCCAACTAAAAAAAAAAAAAAAAAAAAAAAAAAAAAAAAAATATACAGTCTACATGCAGTAGTGTGTACGGTGTGTGTATTTCGAAATCACTGATTAACGAATGAAGTAGTCCCGATTTGAAATAAATTCGTAAATGTTTGTATTTAATGAAAATAAATGTTTATTCAATAAATAGTCATCGTTATCCGGGAAAAAAATCGTAATATTTTATTTTATCATTATGACATATTTAGTTCCTATCACAATCTGTTCTTTTAGGCATATTACTTTTACAAAATAATGTCGATGTTTCACATCTGCCAGGCGTCCCGTGACGGCTCACATTTATTTTTAATGTTGTACCTACAAAAAGGTAAATCTAAATATTTACTTACTCAAGTGACCTAATACAAAAATAACTCAATGAACTTTAATTATTACTTTATTTTGCTGGCATCACTCCCTACTAATTCCAAGTTTACTATACATTAAAAAAAAATGTTATCTTTACTTGTGCGTTTTTTACTATTTGTGTTAAAAAGGGACGCAATTATTACTCGCCATAAAACCACTTTTAATGAGATCACTGCACTTAATTAAATATAATTCACCAACAAATAAAATGTATGTATAGACTCAGATGTTCAGACTCGTATTGAAATTGAAAAATGTGCCCGGCCAAAAAGGTTTGCCATCTCTGACATGTCAAAAAATGATAGCTGTCAGAATTCTACGGAATTAAAAATCAAAGTATAGGTCTCAGAATTTTGTATCTATTTCATGATAATTCGTCAATCCAAAAGGCAAGTGAGTAATCAGCCTCCTGTGCCTGACACACACCGACTTATTGTGTCTAAAGCCCGTTTCTTGACGATGTTTTCCTTCACCGTTCGAGCGAATGTTAAATGCGCACATAGAGTCGTACGGTAAATCCACTATTCCAACACGGTTCAACATTATTCCAATAGAATGAGAAAATAAACACTTATTAAATAGTATAAATCACCTGCTGCCTCTGCTGCAAATGCTGTCTGTCGGCCAAAGCCTGCCTCTCGCGGTGCGTGGCGTGCACGCGCCTGAGCACGGCGTCCCCGCTCTCGGCCAACGATGCGACGAACGCGCGCTCGCGGGCCGCGTGCTCGGCGTCCAGCCGCGTCCGACGCTGCCTGTACGCGTCTTTGCGACGGTCCTTTGCGACTAGTTCTACTTCCTGTAAATTTTATTACAAATATGTAATGCTTAATAAAATACTCCTTAAGAATGTCCATAGCGCTAAACCAAAAAATCTACAGTGAAACAAAACTCATGAATATAAAACAATTATTTTAAATACAATTAAATTATTAATAATAACTTCACTTTCACTAAAATAAATAATTCTACCTACCTTCATAATCTAATTCTACCTAAGTATAGAACTAATTATGGTAAAAAAACATTGAGCGTTGGGTATAAAAGACTTCCACAAAATATATAAAGTGCAGACAGTCTGGCAATATCTGAATTAAGACTAAAATACCATCTCAGTTATCGACGTAAATGAAAGTCGACGCAAGTTCTACTTCGCTAATTCATCCTTGAAGCTCTTCAATTGTATCTTTAGTCTGTTATGAGAATGAATGTCTTTAAACCTAAACCACCTGCATCATGAGCACACCTTCACGTACACAAACTTACGTACACGCCATCATACAACACACCCGAATTAGGGATTACTTAGTTAAATTTATTTATTAATATTTTTGAAGTGAAACTTCTTTATCGAGGTTGGAAAAAAATTTAGTGTAACATTTTTTTCGTTACGCGTCACATTTTTCGGTTACGCGCCATATCGATTTTTGAAGTCATACTTCTTTATCGGCGTTGGAATGAAACTTCATTATCGACGTATGGGAGAAATTTTGTAGCAAATTGTCACGTTTTTCAATGATAGTAATAATTCTATTACAATTAATGAAATTCTATAATAATCTTCGTAGTAATAAGGTAAAATGAAATATTTGTATTCATGTCTATGATAATAAAAGCCTTTTGTTAAACTTTATCTAATTTAACGAATTTCTGTAAAGTTGCATATAGTAGATCATTTTTCGAAAAATAAGATCATAAAGAAGTTTCACTTCTTACGTGTGTACACCTAGTACACGCACAATTTTTATTTTTTATAGATTTTTTCCTTTCGTAAACGTTTGAACCTTTTTGTATATATGTATTCCATTTTTGGCTATATGTTTAGTATAATTGTTTTTTTGTTATTTATAATTTAAGTCACATGTAAACAAAATAAATAAAGGTTTAATGTGCCCATAGACATCCATAGCATCCAAAAATTTCTCACTAAGAATTTGTCCCACACCTTGAACCTCTGATCCTAGCAGGACTCCGTCTTTTATCTTAGGTCTCTTGGTGCATCACATACTGATTTATATATTCACTATTTGTTTTAGGGTTATTAGGTTCCTAGGTCTAACCTTCTCATATATTTAGATGCTCCTGATATTTAATGGATCCCACTGGATTGCAAGCTATATGTAATGATTGAAAACTTAAAACTCATTCACTCGGACAACAATTTTTTTTTCAAAAACCATACACCATCCTTTTTTATTTAAATTATTCCAACTTAGAAGACCTAAAGTTTCATCAAAATCAGTTGAGTAAATTTTGATGCATATCAACGCATACACACGGATTATTATGTATAAATAATATTGACATGTATTTGAATTGGGTATTTTTTTTAACTGAATCATAAAAAATCCATCAAGAGGTTTAAATTTCTTAGAAAGTTTTGACACACTATTAAATCAATTTAACTGTTAATTAAATTTTTCTTGAAGTAAAACTTCTTTGGCCGCATGAGGGTAAAATTTTTACGGATACGCATGAAGATGTGCAGCATGGTTGTCGAAGAAGAGGTAGAGAGAGATCGAGACCGATTGAGAGAGAGTGAGAAGGGATAATTATAGAAATTATATTTTTTAAATTAAAATTTCGTAAAGAGAATTTCTAAAATATTTGTATTTTATATTTTATTAAAATCTCAAATGACGAATTGTAAATTATAATGCCACGTGTTTTTATTATTTTAATGACAAATAAATTATTAAATTCCTAACATATCTTCCTTTTTCCCTCCCTCTAAGTCTCGGAAATCTAAAGTTTTAGATTTGTATAAATATGAACAAGACTTAAAAATTAGTTTGCCAAAGAAGTTTCACTTCTGACATGTGTTCTTTGTACGCTCGGACTTTTTTTAAATAAAGGATTTATTTATTTAAAAATACATCCAGAAGTAATATGAACGAACCTGTTTAAGCAGCCGCAACTCCTGCTTGAGCGTATCCCTAAAGTGCCGCAAATCTCTCTCGTGGTCTGCTCGAAGGCGCTTCGCTTGGGCCCGTAACTCTGCTTCTAGTTGCTGTTCGGCTCGTTCGGCCGCCGCTCTTTGGGCTCGAGCCAACGTATCCAAGTCTGCTTCATGAGCTCGACATAGAGACGCCAACTCCGCTTCGAACCTGGTAAAGATGTCTCATTAATAAATTATCCAACTTTTTATTTTGGAAAAAGATTAAAGTAGTTTTAGAATTTTTGAAGTGAAACTTCTTAAGGCGCATGAGGGTAAAATGTATACGGAACGTCACGAAGATGTGCGATGTTTTTGTCTAAGAAAAAGGAGAGACCAATTGAGAGAGAGAGAGTAAGAAAGGGCGAACGTAGCATGAAGCAAATAGCCATGGAGCGAGAGTAGGGAGCAAGCAAGTGAGAAAGATCGAGAGAGAGAGAGAGAGAGAGAGAGAGAGAGAGAGAGAGAGTGAGATAGAGCGAACGTCGTATGACGCACAGTGCCATGGAGCGAGACGTGGGAGAGAGCTATAGTGAGACAGATTGAGAGAGTGAGAAAGGGAGATCGAGAAAAAATACACGCTATTGGTTGATGTATTCGTTTAGTAGTTACATATTAGAACTTTAGATGGCAATTCTGTCGCATAACGTCTTGTGCAGTAAACGCAGATTTTCTATTTATTTATATTATCATTAGCACGTATACAGTGTGTAAACAGTGTGAATATAGATATACAAATACATCTATTGGGGCTTTTACCTTAGTAATAATTCATTTACAAAGAAGTTTCACTTCTGACATGTGCACTTTGTACGCACGCACTTTTTATTTTTATAGAACATGCAAACAGGCAGGAGAACCTAATGCGGATGCCGAAAGTGATACCGACGCCCATTGACACTTTAAATGCCAGTGGACTCGCGAGTGCAATGTTGGCATTTTAAGAATTGGTACGCTCTTTTCTTGAAGGATATATTGCATCTATTTTAACCAGTGGCGCTACAGCCTTTTTAGGCCTGGGCCTCAGATTTCTGCATCTATATCGTGAGCATTTGTTTCTTCTAATAGACAAGTTGATAGCCTTCTTTGCCTTTCACGTCTACTTGAGTCTAAGAACGATCTCACGATATTTTAAATGATGAGAGAGTGTTAAATGCGCACACAGAATGTCCATTGGTGCACAGCCAGGGTTCTACGATCTCAGGGACCAAAGGGATGAGAGTAGCATGCTGAAGCCACTAGGCCAACACTGCTTAATTATGTTTAAAAACTTTATGTATAACTAGTGGACCCCACAGACGTTGTCCTGCATGATATTTAAAGCGATTAGGATATTAAGCAAAGTATGAAAGTACCGACTGCAGTGCCATCTGCCGGGCTGATTTGTGAATCTAAACCATTCCCAGATCCCCTTGAACACACACAAAAAATTTCATCAAAATCGGTCCAGTCGTTTGAGAGAAGTTCAGTGACATACACACTCACAGAAGAATTATATATATAAAGATATGAATTGTACAGAAAAACCTTAAACAAAATTTTTTAGTGGTTCAATTTAGATCTAGAGACAATAGGAGATCAGACAGTCACTGTCAATTACTTAAGTCTGATAGAGGAAAAGAAGCTCAAAAGAAGTTCTCTCATGAAAGAAACTTTTTTAACATTTTAGAATGTAATGCATTTAGATCAGATAAAGAAAAGGCAACAATCTTTGGGGAATATCTGAAAACAGTTTTCCAACCACTCCCTGAAAACAATCCCGAACATACTTTGGAAATCAAAGAATACCTCGAGTCAGCGAATCAAATGTGTTTACCACTAAAAAGTACCAGCCCAAAAGAAATTGTGAAAGAAATTAGGAACCTCAAGGATGGTAAAGCACCCGGCTATGACCTGATTGATGCCACATTACTTAAAAACTTGCCTCATAAAGGTATCATGAAATTAGTTAACATCTTTAATGCTAGCTTAAGACTTGAACATTTCCCTGGGCAATGGAAAATTGCACATATAGTCATGGTGCCGAAACCCGGTAAACCCCCACACGAAGCTGCTTCATACAGACCTATCAGCCTGCTACCAGTTATTGGCAAACTGTTTGAGAGGATATTGCTTAACAGGATGAAAGAACATCTAAGTACACTATTACCGAACCACCAATTTGGATTCCGGGAAAAACACGGGACAATTGAACAGGTACACCGTATAGTTGACACCATTAGCAGGTGCCTTGAACACAAATTATATTGCTCTGCAGTCTTTTTGGATATCAGCCAAGCGTTTGATAAGGTATGGCATGACGGCCTCCTGTTCAAGCTAAAAGAAGCATCTTCCACATTGTCTATTCCTAATATTGAAATCCTACTTAGAGAAAAGATGCTACCAAGTGAAGTACGGCGATGATCTCTCAGAAGTACACGAATTAAAATCAGGTGTCCCTCAGGGTAGTATATTGGGCCCTATACTATACCTCATTTTTACAGCAGACATCCCAACAACTAACTACACCACGACTGCGACATACGCTGATGATACGGCGCTTCTGTCGGCTCATAGCAACCCAGAAACGGCCTCATCACAGTTGCAAAACCACCTGATAGAAGTTGAGAGGTGGCTGAAGCATTGGAGAATTAAAGCCAACGAGAGCAAATCGGTACATGTAACGTTTACTCTTAGGAGAGAAACATGTCCTCCGGTAACGCTAAACTGCAAAGTTATCCCTCAAGAAAATAACGCAAAATACTTGGGCATGCACCTAGACAGGAAACTTACATGGCAAAAACATATTTGGACAAAGCGCAAACAACTGGATGGAAGGCTGCGGACACTGAACTGGTTACTAGGACGCAAATCACAACTTAATCCCAACAGCAAGATGCTAGTGTATAAAACCACCTTAAAACCAATCTGGACTTACGGGATACAACTGTGGGGAACGGCCAGCAACAGTAACATAGATATCTTGGAGAGATTCCAGACCAAAGCTCTGAGAACAATGTTTGGCATCCCACATTGTATAAGCAATAGGTACATATACCTCGACCTCGGCCTAAAAACAGTTCGACAGGAAATAGCTCAAAACAGCCTGAAATACCAGGAGAAGCTGACCTCCCATGTAAATAAACTGGCACACGCTCTGAGCGGAGAAGGCGGTCTTCAGCATAAGCGGCTAAAAAGAAGGGACGTACCGAGCCTATATAAAAGATTTACCTCTTAACATCAAGAGAGTCGTGGCTCTATGTCGAGTATGGCTCTTGAGGATAACATGAACTGAGTAAAATCAAACAAACAAGTGGCTTATTGCTGGATAGCAGATTGCCATGAAGCAGATACAACAAAAAAAAAAAAAAAAAAAAAAAACATTTTAGAATGTAATCGGATAAATCCGTTCAAGTATTACGAAAGCAGATTTACGGCAATTCACCCCCCCTCTCTCTCTCTTGTCAGCAAAAGTAAGCAAAGCTCTAAAAAATAATAAATAATTACTGTTGACGTAATCACCAAATAAGGAAATCAAAGACCCCCCTCCCCCTCCCCTCTCCTATAGTGCTTACGTAATACTTGAACGACCCGTAACAAGCGCGACTAAATCCATTATACTCCATACCTCTTGTCCTGCTGCTCCCTGAGCTGCGCCTCCTTAGCGCTGAGGTCCTGGAACTGCTTCTGCTCTTGTTTTTGCAGCATCTTGATCTCGCGCAACTCCTGTTTGCGCAGGGCGTGGTCGTCCCACGTGCGACCGCTTTCTTCGTCACCCCATATCACCTGGAAAAATTATACAATTACGTAATTGAAAAAAATTCTAAAATTCCAATTAAAAACTTTTAAAAATTTCAAAATTAAGTTTTTTTTTATGTTAGAGGAAGCTCACTTGATGTTACCGCCCATGGACACACTCAATGCCAGAGGGCTCGCGAGTGCGTTGCCGGCCTTTTAAGAATTGGTACTCTCATTTAAAGGACCCTTAGTAGAATTGGTTCGGAAATACCCACCGCCCATGGACAGTCAATGCCAGCGGGCTCGCGAGTGCGTTGCCGGCCTTTTAAGAATTGGTACTCTCATTTAAAGGACCCTTAGTCGAATTGGTTCGGAAATACCCACCGCCCATGGACATTGGACACTCATTGCTAGAGGGCTCGCGAGTGCGTTGCCGGCCGATAAAACTAACCTTATGAGTTGTAGTAGTAACGATAACGCCGTCAATTTCAAACTTCCTCGTGCGTTTCCGAGTCTTCTTCTTCAGATTCGCCATATGTATGTCTTCTTTAGACCTGGAAACCAAAAACCATTATTTAATACATCATTAACGTCTACAAAATCCTTTTTCTACCGCTACCTACAAAATTTTTGGAAGTTGGACGGAATAAATAAATTAAAAAAAAAAAACTGTGATCATGGCTTTCTTTCTCCATTCCCTTCCTGCTAATGATTCCTCCATTCATCTCCTTCCTAAATTGCGCAAAAACAAATCTACTGATGCAGATCCGGGATTCTCTTGAAGCTCTTGGTTTAATATAATACTTATACTCTGATTTTTAATTCCGTAGAATTCTGACAGCTATCATTTTGTGACATGTCAGAGATGGCAAACCTTTTTGGCCGGACACATTTTTCAATTTCAATACGAGTCTGAACATCTGAGTCTATACATGAGTTTTATTTGTCGAAAAACGTAGGACTAATGTTTATCACCGCTATGACGGCCGTCATGCAAATGACAGCACCGCTATTTGACGTTACGGTGACACTCCACTAGAAAACCTACTGCGATGTTATTTATAGACAACGTATGGGTGACGTCACCCAACGTTACATTACGGCCGTTAGATAACGGCACCGCTTTTCTAGGAAACTTCAGCTTTATTTTCAAATGGCTCTGACAATTAAACCAGTTAAAACCCATACCTCTGTATCCTATTGACGTTCTCTTGGGGTTTCCTTCTCAATACTACTTCCGTTTCTCCATTCTCTTCTATGCTCTGACTGTCTTTATTTACCCTGAAATAAAACAAACTGTATGTTATGATAAGCACCTTTTACAATTGTTACACACATCATTATGTGTCGGTTATCGAAAGCTGGCGCGATCACAGTACTCACACTAATGCAATTTCACTATACAGTATGTTTAAAAATATGACTTTTTTGCCAAGCTATATATTTTAGTCTACTCTGGTTTTAGTAAGGTTGGGTGGGTTGTAAATAAATAAAAATGTGTCAAATACATATAAATATTATGTGCATACGAGGGTGGATCCAAAAGTTCTAAGCCCGAATAAGAACCTAAAAGAGTAGTTTGTGAAAATAATTTTTCATTTTTCGAAATTTTTTCATTAAACTGTTTTTATTAAGATGCTTTAAATAATTAAAAACATTGTGCACCATTTCACGAGATTGTCCTGGTAATGTTTAGACGGAATAAATTTCATAAGACATTTTTTTCAAAGTATTCTAATCTCCAACCAAATAAGTAAACAATCACAGACAAAATAATAATGAGAAAAAAGATCAACATAAACAGTAGCAAAAGCAAAACAATAACTGTCTCTTTTATACGCATAAGCTTGAGCGAGCGCGAGAGAGACGGACAGTCTTTTCATGATGCATATTCGGTGTGACATCACGCCTCGCGCTTATTCACAGACACTACACAAGCACAAAGTGTAAATGTGTTGAAGCCGCCAGCTTTAGATAATATACCAATACACCTCTCCATAAGACCTGTAAGTGCGAGCGAGACAGACAGATAAATATGATTTATGATGATGAAGAGTAAACTCACCGTCCACCGCCATTAAGGTGCGGAGAGTCATGTGAGGCCGTAGTCGCCAAAGAGTCCGCATCACCACGGCGCGACCTCTCCGACCTTCCGGAACCACTGTCAGAGCGGCGACTGGAAAATTTACAAAAAATTCAAAGTCAAATATCAGTATCAGGTACAGTTCGGCACTTGGACACCCATTTGTTCCATCATAAAGTCTTCCATTATTAAGCCTATACTCTGATTTTTAATTCCGTAGAATTCTGACAGCTATCATTTTTTGACATGTCAGAGATGGCAAACCTTTTTGGTCGGACACATTTTTCAATTTCAATACGAGTTTGAACATCTGAGTCTATACATACATTTTAATTGTTAGTGAATGTATTAATTTTAGGCGAGTAAAAATTTACCCTCATAATTTTTTCCTAACGCGCCAAATATATACACATACCTTTCAAAGCTATCAGGGCTAAGTCTGCTGGCGTGGTCGTTGTGCGGTAACGCTATATGCGTCGCCGCCGAGTCTCGAACCCGCACTTCTTCTGCGCCGACTGTCACCACTGAGACATGGGATGTGTCCTGAAATTAAATATTCAAATTGAATTGAAACGCGACAAAATATTTGACCATTTATTATTTATTTGGTAAGATTTGGGAACCCTTTCAAGTTAAAAAAATACCTGAGCCAGCTTTTCGATAACAAACTTTATACTAAATTCAAAAAAAAATTTTTTTTTTAGTTTTTTCTATTATAATTTTTTTTAAATGTGTACAACATCTAATTCATTCAACAAACACTTTTTTGCGTAACAGGCGTGAGTGCATGAGTGAATGTGTGGGTGCATGTAAGTCAATGAGTGAGCGTGTGCGTGAATCTAAGTAAGTAAGTGAATGAGTGAGTGTGTGAGTGCTATGAGTGACTCAGTGAGTGTGTGTATGTAAGTGAATGAGTGAGTGTGTGAGTGCTGTGAGTGAATGAGTGAGTGTGTGGGTGTATGTAAGTGAATGAGTGAGTGCTATGAGAGAATGAGTGTGTGTGTGAGTGAATGAGTGAGTGTAAAGTGTAACTACGTGTTAGGTCTCAGGAGCACCTCCAATTCTGCGTAAGGTGTGTTCAGAAGCCAGTCCTTTAATTGTTATTGACCACAGTGGTTTTTAATATTATACCATGATATAAATTGTATTATTCTGTAAAAAAAAACTCACCAAATTGAGATTATGAGAATCTTCGAACCCGAGACCCGAATCACCAGCTCCAGGGCTAAGGATCAGCACTTCACTGCTGTCCAGGCGACGGCCTCTACTCTTCTCTGTAATATAAGATTTAAATAATCGCGAATTTATTAACGGAAAACATTTTGATTGACTTTCAGTAATCGTGAGCAAAAGACTGTTACTAAAAGTTAACAGACAATTTTATTTGTTTAGTTACTATTTTTTTTTATTTAAATTTCCCAATATCCCCGACTCTTGTTGTGCGGGACCTTATTTTATACATATATTTTGTACAAACATATACATACATACATTCAGAAATTTCCTAATAATATATATATCCATACACAAAAATACATATTACTAAATATTTCTATTTTATATTCATGGGCTGGTGGGGGCCCGTCTCACCTCCGCTACGCTCTTGTTACTATTACAGAAAAACAAATAACATAATATATAAACATTATTATAAAGCAACGGGCGGCCTTAAAGCTAACAAGCTATGCCTACCAGACAACCATAATAAGGGAAAAAAGGTCTTCTCTTTAGATTTACTTTAGCTGGGGCATGCACACATATAAAGAAAATCCATTGGTGCACAGCCAGGAATCGAACCTACGACCTCAGTGTCATTCACTCGTTAAACGTAAATTATTTAATAAAGCTTTATATTTGACGATAATTTAAATTATTGATTCAGTTCAAACAATTTGTATGACTCAAAACTTGGCGATTAAAAAGAGTGGCGGAGAGTTTCTTGCCAGTTCTTCTTACCCGCTCTACGCCCTTGAGTTGCGAACTGGTAGTAAATGTAAATTTAGAATCAATTTAACATCTCTTCTGTTGACGTTCATAAGTGTACTTGTTTACCTATATGAATAAAATTATTTTGACTGAGTGATGAAGTCGCCCGCTGATTTTATTATTATTAACAAATCGTCATGATCGTAGAACAATGTTGGATTTGAAAAAAAACCGAAATCCACTTTTTATCATATTTGGATACTCCGTGTGTTTTAAATTTAAAATTAATCAGTCGGTAAAGTGACGGATTTGATAGAAGCATGTGATTTTTCTAGAAAACTGTGTAATTTAATGTTATTATTTTTATTTTGTTTCAAAACAAACCCTTTTGTTTGCTTGTATGCCAATTTTCTAATTGAATATGAATTAAAATAGTTACATGATTACTAGTGGACCCCACAGACGTTGTCCTGCATGATATTTAAAGCGATTAGGATATTAAGCAAAGTATGAAAGTACCGACTGCAGTGCCATCTGCCGGGCTGATTTGTGAATCTAAACCATTCCCAGATCCCCTTGAATACACACAAAAAATTTCATCAAAATCGGTCCAGTCGTTTAGGAGGAGTTCAGTCACATACACACGCACAGAAATATATATATTAAGATATTATTTTTAAATGGCTGCCCTGTAAAGTTTACTATTCGTCAGATCCGTCACTATTCTACGACTGGCGAAATATTGTTTCAAACAACTCACCAGTGTAGCACGTGGTGCAATCCAGTGAGTCAAGGGACGAGGGAGCGAAACAGTCATCATCGGAGGAGGAACCCGTGGCGGTGGTGACCACGCTTGCAGAACCGCCCACCACCACCACCTCGTCGTTGATGGGCGGGGTGCTGGATATCGTCACTGCGTTCGGAGGCAGCTGGAACCAAATTTATAACTTCAAACAAATCACGATTTTAAACTATACTTAAATTGTTTACCTATAAACTAAAATCAGCTTTGACAGCTAAAGTCAGAGCCTATTGACGGACGTTTATAATCTGTGAAGTATTATTTGCTTGAAAAAAAATATTTTTAATGGAGTCGGCGAATTTAAATAAATAAAAAACGAGTGGCACTCGGGGTCTGCCGCGGTAAAGCTATTGCATATAATTTTTTTATTTATGCAGGTTTTTTTTCTTCTTTGATATTAATTCCAATCTACGTCACCGATGTCATCAGAGAGATGTGAATATGCAGTATGCGTTCTGTCCCGCTCTAACACGTATTGGCCGCACCTATATTACGTCATCGAGTGTTAGGTTTATTTTCGTTACGGAATTTCTTGATTCGGTCGCCGCGCTCAAAGCCCGCGATAAAATCTATGCAATAGCTTAAAAATTGCCTTTACACTTATATTTAAATATCTGTGTGACCTGTAAAATCTGTCTGCACAGTGTCTCTCTCTGCCATGCTGATGTTTCCATAAGCTGGTCTATCCACCTTCTAAACTGTCTTCCTCTTTTTTGTATTGTACTTTGGGCACCAGTTTAATATTTGCTCCACTTTATGTTCCTATTGCCATGTGCACCTTAGTAATTCTAAAAGATCTTATTCTTTATTTTGTCTATTCTTTTCTTTCCTATACATCGTTACATCGATCTTTGAAACAACTGTAGCTTTGTACACGATACTTTAACGTAACAACGTCATAGTAAAACATTGATGAAATGATTGGAAACTTTTATGAATAAAATTGAATTATTTTTATTGAATTATCACTATTTAGTATTGATACAAAGAATTATCGAAGTGAATTTTCGAACGCATATTATAACAACGACAATCGGGTGGAATAGAGATAGCTGCGGCGCAAGCGTACAATGAGCGTAACGGGACAATAAGCGTAACAGGACAATGTCATGCTTTTTCGCGCGTACAGCCGGCGTTCATCGATCTATTGTACGCACGTTGTCACGTCAAAATAGTGCTTATTTCATATATATAATATACCGACTGAAGACAGAAGAAATGTATATTAACACCATCTATTATCGAGAAGTTAGAATTAGAAAGCTGATTATACAATATTATATCAATGCATGTAAAAAAATGTTTAAATGAAGGTAGTCCGAAAATAGTTGAAATTACTCACTCTGGCGCCTGTGCTAAGTACGGGAGGATGCGTCGTGGTTACCGTGACGAGACCGCAAGGCACCGCGTCCAAGGAGTTCGGTTCAGCACTCACTGACACCACTGTTACCGCTTGAGATGGTGATGGCTGACGGGTTGGTGTCTGAAAGTATATATTACTAGCTGATCCGGCAAACGTCATTTTGCCATGTATATCATTTATAATAAAAAATAGGGGTTGATCGTAGAGGGGTGAAAGTTAGGGGTTGTATGTATTTTTTTATGCTGTATCATAAAAAAATAAAAAATAAGTAATTTATCTAAAAATTAAAAAAAAAAAATTAGGGGTGGACTATCCTTAACATTTAGGGGGATGAAAAATAGATGTTGTCCGATTCTCAGACATACACAATAAGCACACAAAATTTCATGAAAATCGGTCAAGCCGTTTCGGAGGAGTATGGCAACGAAAACTGTGACACGAGAATTTTATATATTAGATATCGTGGAATGTTCTCCCTAAAATGACTGTTCGAACTTGAATTCGTGTATGCGGTGATGTTAGTTATTTCGGGTATGTATTTGCGTGTTGTTCCCACGAGAATGTAAATGCGTGCTCCTATTTCACCATGCCACCTGCTGATAGAGGACACATCTTTGTTTTTAATTTATTTTATTATTATTAATTACTTAAGATGTCATGTGGAACATGGTGTAATTGTTGCAGCATTACAAACGTGGTGTTAAACAAAAAACTTGGCGATTAAAAAGAGTGGCGGAGAGTATTGCCAGTTCTTCTCTTCCGTTCTACGTCCATGATTTGAGAACTAGCAGTAAATGTAAAATGAGAAATAAGAAGTATTTAATATGTATTTGACGTTCATAAGTGTATATTGTGTTACCTAAATGAATTTGATTTTTTTTTGTATTCTCTTTCACTGTTTACATATTTTAATTTTAATTGCTTTGTATTAGTTTTGTCCCTTCAGAAAAGAAGACACTGATAAAATTTTGGCCGCATTTGTGATGGCAGATGGGTCAAGCAGACCCTTACTTGGAAGAAGAAAGAGATGATGCCCACCGAAAACTTGGAAAGATGATATAAAAGGGATAGCGGGAAAAAACTGTAAAATTGTCGCAACAAATAGGGACAAATGGAAGAATCTGGAGGAGGCCTTCACTCCGTCGGAGGTCGAGTACTAGTACTAGTGTAAAACTTAAAAGACTGTAGTTATAGTGTACTCGAATAAAGGCTATTTTTATTTTTATTTTATTTTATATACTGACAGAAAATCCCTTACCACAACTGGTTTAATCTCGATGGAACTCTTATCTATCGAACTGGATCTCGAATAATCCCGAATCGCCCGATCCAATCGGTCTTTATCGTCCATACTCCGCGACCTCGACTCGATTCTACTGATCTCAGCACTGACTCTCTTCGTCTCGCTCGCACCTATCTCATCCGTCGATCTAGCCTTCTCCTTCTCTCCCTCTCTTTTAACCTCTCTCACCTCTGAATCGAAGCTCTTCCTCTCTTCCAAAGCTCTCTTTTCGTAAGTCTCTCTAACATCGGTGAGACTTTGCCTTTGCGTGGCTAGACTTTTAGACTTTTCTAGTTTGCTCTCAATCTCCATACTTCTTCTCTTCACTTCTTTTTGTTTCCTAGAATCGTCGATGCTTTTAATTTCATTTACAACATCTGTTGTTTTCTCGTTTATTTTATCGTCTGTCTTGGCGTCAATTTTGATATTATTCCTGTCAATTTCCGTGCTATTTCTGTTAACGTCATGTTTGACAGTGACACTGACAGTTTCGTTGTCTGTCAGTTCGGGTCTATCTGGCTTTGGTTTTGTATCTGTTAACTGTATCTCTGGATTTATTGATTGTTTTTCTACCGCCTGTTCGGCTTCTCGACACACCTGGAATTATTTATTATTATTATCAGTGGCGCTACAACCTCTTTTAGGTCTGGGCCTCAGACCTGTTACATGATCATTGAATTAATTTTGAATTACTTAATTGGAATTAATTTACTTAAATATTTAATTTGTTCCAGCACTTACCTGGACCAGTATAGGTTAAAACCTTTGAAATCTTTAGACAAAATAAATGATTACCTTTATTAATTTAAAAAAAAACTTAAAAATGTGAAGCTTCTAGAAGTAATTTTTGAAATTAAAAATTGCTTACAATTTTATCTAAATAGAGTTAGGAATAGAAAACACAAAGATTTTCCTCACCTGATCCACAATAAACTTGCCAGCGGTAGTGGGACTGGCGGGAGTGGGGGCTGGCGGTGGCGGCGCGGGCTGTTTGCGGCCCCCACGCGTAGCGGCCTGTGAGGGCGTCAAGGGCGCTGTTTCTGTAGGGCTTTGTAAGGGGGTTGTTGGAGTCTGTAGGGGGGTAGGTGATTGCGTTGGGGTACTCTGTGTAGAGGATTGTGTGACGGGTGTCGTTGATTGTACAGGCGGTTGTGAGGGGGCTGGAGGTATGCCAGCTTGTGTGGGGGTCGACGGTGACTGTATTGGGGTAATGGGTGTTGTAGGGGTTGGCGGGGTAGCTGACACCGCAGGGGGAGGGGGCGCAGGGCCTTTTTCTTTCTTTGGGGCCTGAAATTGTAACAATTATAGAATTTATTATTAAAGAAATTGACATTAATTTGCGATAAGTGTTCGAAATTAATATATTTTGATCTGGTCAAATCCTTGGATCTTATTAGTAAATTAATTAATTATATTTAAGTCTAACATATTGAGGTCTTAATAGAGACTGTAATTTCAAAAACCTTTTAAGTAAAGTAGGTTAGTTTTAAATTACTTCTTTATCTTAAGTTTGGCCGGATGGTAATATTTAATTTCTCAGTTCATATACAATTTATAAAAAACCGTATATTGTTTATTATATGTTTATATTTATTTAGTTACATATATATTTTAATTAATAATTACAAGCATATACAAAATGTAAACAATCGTCGCACACTTGAAGCCAAAACCATTTCATTTTTTCCACACTCATAAACAGTAATTTTACATTCTTGTTCTTGATAATCTTTAAAAAGGTCGACTGTACTTGTATTGAAGTGTCACATAGATTGACGAACCCTTAAATACGTCAAGTTAGTTTTTATTATCATCGAAACCCCACTACCCGCAATGTTCTGTTAGTTATAAACTCATATTTTAAACAATTAAAGTTAGTTGTTACCGAGCTTTAACAAAGTGTTTCATTTGTCAATTCGCGGTAAGGAATTATCGACTTTAGGGGTCTGTTTCACAATGTATGGATAAAGTACCAAATAGCTATGCAACATATAAATTGTGCTATTTATGTGACGAATAGCGCTATTTGGCAGTCGTGAAACGCAACAATAGTGTTTATCTTTTAAAGAAAACACTTTTTTACCGGATTGAAGTTATGTTTTATTATAAATTTACAATTATTTTACATAATTTTAAATTATGACGTTTCGCGTTCTTTACAGCGTGCGTGGTCACGTTGACTTAAGTGTGTTGAATGTCAAAAAGTATCACAGCTGTAGAAAAAGTTGTATCATCTGTATTTATTTCCCCGGAGTTTATATCGACTAAAAGATGGAGGATTTTGGCAGAAATTACTCACGGTGTCCTCTATTTTCGCGGATTGTTTATCTTACCAATTAATAAAAAGTTAATTTGGAACTTATGTAGAACTTATCCGTACATTGTGAAACAGACCCTTAGCATAATTTTTGGCCCCAAATAAAGAATATAATAAACATTTAGCGAGACTTCGTATTGTTGATAGTAATATTTGTGAGTGTGGAGAAGATATTGGTGACCACGACCATATTTTCTTTTCTTGTTCCCAATATGACCGTACCTCCTTTCTGAATTCCTTACAATCACTTCATGTTCCGTTTCCGACTAAAATCTCCTGCCTTTTGCTTTATCCTTTATTGTATTATAATGTATTATCTTCTTTCATAGTCAATAATAATTTTAAGATGTAATATTTTTGTGTACATATTTTGTTTTTAACCAGCTTATCCCTTTATTTCCTTTTGATGTCTTTGTTTATTTTTTCTCGCGTGTAGTTTCCCAACCTTTTACTTGAAACTGGCATAAAGTTAAAACTATTGCCATAATATTAAAAAAAAAAAAATGTGTGCGTGTACTGTGTACACCACACACGTAAGAAGTGAACCTTCTTTATGACCTTATTAGAAACTATTTCTTTAAACACAGTAAATTTTGATACACTGCCTAGCATACAATTTACAAATTAATTGCTGCAAATTACGATTAGCAAATTTCAAGTCGTATATATATCATATTTTAACGCCGATAAAGAAGTTTGACTTCGAAAAGCAACATGGCGCGTAACGAAAAAATGTGACGCGTAACGCAAAAATGTTACACTAAATTTTTTTCCAACCCCGATAAAGAAGTTTCACTTCAAAAATATATAATAATATCTCACGGGCGGCTTCCTGTCAGCGTGCCGGTGATCGATATCCGCGTCGTCGTGCGGCCGCTTTGCTGGCTGCGTTTGCTGTGAGGGCTGAAGGGGCGCGGGCGAAGCAGCGCGTGGCGAACGGGGCGGGGCTGCGGCTGTTGCGCGGGGGGCGGACGCGTCTTGTTCCGACACTGGAAATTCATGATGGTGTTTAAAAATAATGCCGTTATGCTTCAATCAGGCTTAGTTTTAGCGTGGTGATTTAAGTCGGAGTAACAGCCCAAGAGCCAGAGCCAGACTATAGCCAGTCGCAGACACTCAGTATTATAGACATTTCATAATGTTTATATATTACTAGTAGACTCGGCCAAGCGTTGCTGTGGCTAAGGTTTTTGTTATATTACATAGTAGTAAACTATTCAAGGGAAACGGTAGGAGAACACCATCATGCCACCATGCTTTTTTGGTGGTTATGCCATTAAATTAGTAGCTTATGTGAAACGTTGGTACTTTCAACACAGCGCCATCTGTTAGAATTGTGACTATCAAATAATAAACAAATATTTTGCAAATAAATAATATTGTGCGTATAAATTGAGAAGCTTCATCTTTAAGTTGGATCAAACTACACACGGGTGCAAATTAATATGGTTCGGGTTTAGGAGTCCATAGCGGACAAACAACGTGACACGTAATTTATATATATTAAGATAACAGAAATTACCAGCAAACAGATATATTTAATGTATCTAAAAAATGCTTAGTAAATTATATAAAAACTCTAGTGTCCTTTATTAGATAGAATGGTTTTGTTATTCCTCCATTATATTAAATATGTTATAGTGAAAGAAATTAGAATTATTATAAATACAAATTTTGTTTTTTTTTGTATTGTAGGGAGTCTTGTGTAGAAGGGGGGATGGTAATGAATGTAAGAGTGAGGAGAGGGGTAAAGGAGGAGGGGAGGGGTGAGTCAATCATTTAATCTTAGTTAAAGGGGGTTCGAAATATCACACAATTTTTTTCTGATTAAAAAAACTTAGGAAAACGGTTGACTAAAGGTAAGACTCCCGTACTCCATACCTAAACGTAAATTCACTTATTTTGTTTTAGTCGTAAAAAAAGACGAAGCAATTTTTTTTTTTTTACAATAACAATCAAGTAAGAAGAAACCACATTTTGAAAAATCTAGGATTGGGAGGGAGGGGGTTGAATAAAATCTCACGACATCAAGAGGGAGGTACAGAAAATTAAAAAAACACCTCACGTAATTATGGACGCCCCTAACAGTAATAAATAAATGTATGTATGGTCAAAATAATATATTCAAAAAAACATCTCGGAATTGTGGTGGTATCTAAATAAACAAACCCCATGGCATACAGAGGCAGTTGAGGAAAAATCGTACAAATGAAAATCTTTACTGAAATGTTTGAACCCTTTCGACACAAACTTAGAAAAACAATTAAAGGTGTATTAGAGAAGTAATTTTAAACCTGGTTTTATATTACGTAATTTATAGCTAACATAAATTATATATAACAAAAAATAATTTTACGAAACATATAGAAAGAGTACATAAGTATATAGAAAAAGTTTCAACCATTTATGAAAATAAAAAATACAGTATAAATAATTAGCCGGGTCCACACCGAACGATCCATCGCGATCCGATACCGCGCGGCGCATCATTGGTCGGTTTTGTTCGGGGGCCTCAGTCACTTGCCGTAAAATGTAAAATGTAGCTTGTTGCTGTTGCTGCTACGGCTATTTGTCACCGTCGTTGCACATGTGACTCCATAGCCAGACAAAGTTCAACTGATTCAGTATGGATCCGCTGGAGCGTGTTGGATCAGACAGTCAGGATCGCAAAAGATTGCTGTTAGATCGGCCTAGTACGATCCACGCTCCACGCATCGCGATCTTGGATCGCGGGGTCGCCGATCCATTTTGGTGTGGACGCGGCATTACATATAACTAAGTGATACCTACAGTGGGCAGTGCCGGATAAAGCCAGCGCGGGGCCTGTAGCAAATTCTGCCTAGGGGCCCTTGGTTAGGCTTTCGGATTTAAATAGTTCGCCTATGTCCTCGAAATACTTATAATCGATTAGAAAAGTATAATCTCGGCTACGTAAACTAGCAAAATAAATGTATACCTACATAAAAATAAAAATCTGAAGGGTACAAATAACACACTAGTCTAAATATGTATATCGATTATAATTAAAATTTGAAAATTAACGTTAAAAAGATAAATACGTAGTTATTTTAACGATTATACTTGACGAAGTCGAGTTTATTTTTATGTGGAAGTGAAGCATAGACTAAGCGCTTCGCGTTAAAGGTATGCAAGATATTTTACGCTACTATCTAAATTAATACTTTTTTTATTACGGTCAGACAGGCGTTGGAGCGCGGGGCCCCTAAGTTCGCGGGGCCCGTAGCATTTGCTACTCTTGCTATGTGGCTAATCCGGCACTGACAGTGGGTGTGTTGTGTGATGGTGTGTGGGTGTGCTCATGATGCAGGTGATTTTATTTAATACAAGGAGTATTAAGTATATACTGCGGTAACATAAACAAGTCAAGGTTTGTATAGTTGAACTGAGGTTAATTAATAAGAATATTTGAAACATTTAATTACACAATAGCTATCTACTTCGTTGGTCCTCTGGTGGCAGGTATACCACACTCTAATGGCTCTACCAAAATATTTCTTAGATCATGAATAACACTCACTCTTGATGTCCGGCGTCTCGCCCGACCGCACAGATGTTGAGTCATCTTCTATCTCCATCTGCATTTGAGAGCTGCGATGTTCCTGCAATCATTTATCCAGAGGTTAAAATCGGTGACGGCATGCGGCGGCTCTCTATTGCGAGTGTCGCTACGTGCACGTGTACGTAGATACGTATAAAAATACGTACGTAATTATATAAGCAATTAAAATAGATGCTAAAACTACAGTTAAAACCGTTTACGAGGACATTGTTTAGATTTATTTGAACACTTTAAATCTGCACCTTTTGTAGTACATTTTAAAATTATGTGGCTCTGAAATTAAAATAGAGTGTTTGAATTGAGGTTTTTGTTCAGTTTGTAACAGTTTATAGAAGCTTAATGCTTCGGAAATATATTTAGAGGAGTTTATTACTCATAGATGATATTTTTAACATACAAATACATAGTATTTACAATATTCTTAACCTACCTTAACTCCACACCATAGTATAACTTATTGTTAAATACACAGATTGCACATTTTAAGAGATTAGTTTATTATTGAAGTGAAACTTCTTTATCGAGGTTGGAAAAAAATTTAGTGTAACATTTTTGCGTTACGCGTCACATTTTTCCGTTACGCGCCATGTTGCTTTTTGAAGTCAAACTTCTTTATCGGCGTTGGAATGAAACTTCTTTATCGGCGTTGGAATGAAACTTCTTTATCGACGTATGGGAGAAATTTTGTAGCAAATCGTCACGTTTTTCAATGATTAGTAATAATTCTATTACAATTAATGAAATTCTATAATAATCTTCGTAGTAATAAGGTAAAATGAAATATTTGTATTCATGTCTATGATAATAAAAGCCTTTTGTTAAACTTTATCTAATTTAACGAATTTCTGTAAAGTTGCATATAGTAGATCATTTTTCGAAAAATAAGATCATAAAGAAGTTTCACTTCTTACGTGTGTACACCTAGTACTCGCACAATTTATTTTTAATGAGCTATTGTACTCGATGCTAGCTTTTTTTTGTCTTCTATATTTAAGGGTTAGGGAGCGTTCAAGTATTACGTCACGCAATTTTTGGAGATTATTGACCCCCCCATGTAACGCGCCGTAACGTTTTTTGTACCCAAGTATAGTAGAACGTTTCGTGACCACCTAGTGACTCATCATACCATTATGTGGTGTAAAGTACTGGAAAGTCGAAAATAATATTAACAATAACGCGTAATTCAATCCCCGCCCCGCATCGTAACAAAAGGGACCCCCCTCCCAAAATTCGTTACGTAATACTTGAACGCTCCCTTAGGCGCTGTATGCTAAAATACAGGTTCACACCTAGTTCAGCGTCAGATAAACCTGACTATTCTTGTTTAATATAACTAGCGTAATTTAGTTATAAGTTTTCTCCTGTAAACAAACTTGAATTTTGAATAAATAAATAAAAAATAGTAACAATACGGTCAAAACCGTTTACGACGATACGTGTAGAACAACATACCGGTTATATTGACCAAAATCAAAGGTACCGGCTGAATTCTATTGTATTAGGTTCTTAAAAACGTCATCGGCTGTTACGACCAAATATGAGTTGTCCCTTCGATGTCGTTATAACAGATTTTGACTGATTCAATTTATTGATTGGTTTAGAAATCCTTTCGCAGCACGAGTAACCGAATGGACTGGCCCAAAAGGACAAAGAAACAAAGGCAGACCAGAGGGAGATTGAGAGATGGCTGGCAAAAATTTGATGCTGAGAGATACATCTTTCTTTTTGTCTAATGCAGTGTTTTCGAACCTTTTTTGTACCATGCCCCACCTTACTAAAATTCTTATGATCCCACCTATGTAAGGGAGCGTTCAAGTGTTACGTAACGAATTTGGGGGGGGTCCTTTAGTAAAAAGTTACGATGCGGGGCGGGGATTAAATTACGCGTTATTGTTAATATTTTTTTTCGACTTTCCAGTACTTTACACCACATAATGGTAACTTATGGTGTAATGAGTCAATAGGTGGTCACGACACGTTTTACTATACTTGGGTACAAAAAACGTTACGGCGCGTTACATGGGGGGTCAATAATCTCCAAAAAATGCGTTACGTAATACTTGAACGCTCCTATACAAAATAAATATCAAAAATTGAATTGCTCACTTAACACTAAGTAGATATTAAAACATGCTTATAATGAAAAACTAAAATTACAAATAATTATTTTAAAAAATCATCATAACTATCAAATTACCCTTCTGTGGAGCGTGGGCCCCACGTTGGAAAACACTGGTCTAATGTATAACAAGATGTAGATTACCTTATTGTTACCGTACCGTGATAAAAACTATATTTTCTAACGTTTACCTTCAACAAGGGATGAAACTCTCGCGGCTGAAGATCCACAACGATAGCAATGTACACAAAAAAAAAACATTTAAAAATTCACTACCTATACTGGTAACAATAGATTACGATTTTAACAGGTAACTTTATTATCTCAATTTTCATAATTTAAAAAAATCAGTGGCGCTACAACCTCTTTTAGGTCTGTTTCATGATCATTTTTAAATCTAATAGGCAAGTAGGTAATCAGCCTCCAGTGCCTGACACACACCGTCGACTTTTTGGGTCTAAGACATGTCAGTTTCCTCACGATGTTTTCCTTTACCGTTCGAGCGAATGTTAAAAGCGCACATATAAAGTCAATTGGTGCACAGCCGGGGATCGAACCTACGACCTCAGAGATGATAGTCGCACGCTGAAGCCACTAGGCCAACACTGCTCTCTAAAACAACATATCAGATGTGGAACTTTAAATTCCTTCCCATATTAGGAATATTACAGATAGAAAAGTCTGAATTTCTAGTATAACATGGAAATCTTTTTCGGCAAACGAAAAATAATTCGGACGACTCAGAGCGGGAGCGTTCAAGTTGGGTTCAAGGGGGTTCCAAGTATTACGTAACGCAATTTTTGGAACCCCCCCCAAGTAACTCGCCGTAATGTTTTTCAGTACCCAAGTCTAGTAAAACGTTTCGTGACCACCTGGTGACTCTTTAGTTACTATTACGTGGTGTAAGTCGAAAATAATATTAACAGTAACGCGTAATTCAATCCCCGCCCCGCATCGTAACGTTTTACCAAAGGACCCCCCCTGGCCCCAAATTCGTTACGTAATACTTGAACGCTCCCGGCTCTACCAGAAGAGTATAGAAAAATAACCTAGATACCGACTGCAGCACCATCTGTCGGGCTGATTTGGCAACCGTACAGAAGAATTATCAGTCATGTACAATTCACCAGACGCTAAATCTTAAAGATATAAATGAAAAAACGTTAATGTAAATAAAAAAACATACAAATAAAAAGCTAATTCTAAATACAACACTCAAAGGAATTACAGTCATAAACATACTTTTATATTTAAACTAGCAGACCGGCCAAGCGTTGCTGTGGCTAAGGTTTTTGTTATATTACATAGTAGTAAACTATTCAAGGGAAACGGTAGGAGAACACCAGTCATGGGGACCACCATGCTTTTTTGGTGGTTATGCCATTAAATTGTAGCTTATGTGAAACGTTGGTACTATCAACACAGCGCCATCTGTTAGAATTGTAACTATCAAATAATAAACAAATATTTCGCAATAAAATAATATTGCGGGTATAAATTGAGATGTAAGCTATCCTATATTTTAAGTTAGATCAAACCGCATACGGTGTGCAAATTTGAATGAAATCGGTTCGGTAGTTTAGGAGTCCATAGCGGACAAACAGCGTGACACGTAATTTATATATATTAAGATATATATGGCGTGAATGTGGTTTACTATGTGACGGATAGGATTTTTTAAGTATCCAGCAACGAGCGTCTTTCTTTACTGTTAACAAACCCAGCGGCTACAACCTTTCGGACTTAGATTTCAATTTCTGTTTCGTATTCATTTGTTCTATGCAAGTGCACCAAGGTTTATAAATTTTTTTTATAAAGAATTTTTTTTACGTTTTGAAGTGAAACTTCTTTAGGCGTATGAGGGTAAAATATTTACGGAACGTCACGAAGATGTGCAGCGTTTTTGTCGAAGAAAAGGGAGAGAGCGATTGAGAGAGTGAGAAGGGCGGATTAACTTTTCGAAAGTCTATTTTTAAAATTAAAATTACGTAAAGAGAATTTATGAAATATTAGTATTTTATGCAAAATAATTTATTAAAATCTCAAATGACGAATTGTTAATTAAAATGCCACGTGTTTTATTATAAAAAAATTTATAAAATTAAATGTATAATTTGTATTATGTGTTCCGTTTGACGTCCGAGGTCCATTATGAGAGTACATCGTTTCCTTTTCCGCCCAAATCGCTAGTATCCGACCTTTTCCCACCACGTGACACCGCCGCCAGCGCCCAGCGTTTGAAACTGGAACTAACTTTTTATCGCGCTAAAGCAAGCCGCCAGAGTTCTTGTTCATTGTTGCGTCGTTTTTCGTCTTGCACAGTCGCTAGTGCACACTTAAAAACGAATCATTACTATTCATTCAAAGTTATATCGACCTAAAATTTATTTTGAAAGTGGAAATAATTATTTCGTAAAATGGTTAACTCGGTTTTCACGTTAAAAATATAAAATGGCTAATGAAAGTGCTAAAATCGGTGTAAATGTGTTGGCCACGCGGTCAAACGTGCCTCACCCGCGCTTTACAAAGCCGTCTCATATCACGGGAGATATTGTCTCTGCAAGTTCGGACAAGCCGAGTTCTTCGCAAAGTTCGAGTACGAGTGAAGAGGATGAAGAACCGCCGCCACAACAAAGAAGAAATAACCACGTGCGCAGTAATTCACGTGATTATTCTCAGGTTTGAGCAATTGTCGCAGTAATTGGTGAGTCACCTTAATAATACTTTTTTACAATTATGCTGCGTCCTCTAGCATGTTACATAAAGTGACCGAATCTAATAATGCAAACCTACACGACCCTTTTTTGAACCATGCGGCTGTAGTTAATGATATTGCTCAGTTAGACGTGTCGGTTCAAGAACCTCCGAGTTATAAATTATAATATTAATTTCAATGCAGAGGTTTTTACATTTCTGATTTG